CTAGTGTTGTTTTTAAGCCCTTTCATCCGGGCCTATCTGTTCCTGTTGCACTTCGTTTCTATTTTATCACGAATATTGGATGTTCTTGAATGTGCTGTCTTCCTGAGAAATACTACCTGGTAATAAAAAACATTAACCAATCCGCCAACAAAGTGCACTACGTGACCCGTTATTCGTTGGATCGTAGTCTTTATGTAGTCGTGACGGTATCCTGCACGAGAACAATCTGAACAAGCATCATAGTGCCTGCGTGGTTTCGAGGGGATACTCCAGGCATTCTTTGCTTTTGTAGGCATCGCACACATTTCACATCCGTATGCCATTTCGTTCAGTATGAAGCAGTGCGTATACTCTAAATATGAACTGCACGGAGCCTTTGGCCAGTATTTCAAAATGTGTCTCCGATGAATGGCATTACGGGCACCGTGTCTTTATCTTTTACCACTGCATCTTACGATTAAATACTGTCCAGCGAGTGTTTTTCAGAAGTGTTTTTGAAGCATATGAAATTCTGAATGCCACGTGCTTGAACTTATTTGATGCCTTTTTCGTCTTTTTTCCGCGCAAATTCGTTAAATTCATTTACTTTATTCAGGATGACGATCCACCGTACGGTCAAGGAACACTGGGTATGTTTTCTGGCGTCTTCGTTGGATATATGCAAAATATTCTGCTTCTGAGTCTGTTCTTTATCCGACTGCCCTGGATTGTAGGCGTTATGAGTCTCAGTCTCGCAACACTCTCAATTATACTCGTCTTTTTAACGGTACTGCATAGTTTCTTTTACTAGATAGTTTTGTTTCCGAAGCTTCAAGAGTAACTGCAGTTAAGGCAGGACATTAATTTTACATTTAATATTTCAAGCAGTAGATCGTATAGTGGCGCAAAAGTGCGGCTCCGAACACGTCTTCACTGGAAATGCGGGATCCTTAAACTCTCGTGTGGTTGATATTCAGCACTGGTTTTTATCTGCGAGTGATGAATGTTAGCATGGAACTTAAAGTGAATCCTTCGATGAATTGTTTAATGTTCAAAAGTGAAAAAAA